TTTATAAAAATAGTTGAATTCTTATTATTAATATATTTATAATCATTTTGACCATTATTATTTTTATTATCATTATCATTACTAGTAGAAGGATCCCAGAATTTTTGAAAAACTCCATAAGATTCATGAATATGACCGAAAAGATGAACCAATGGTTTTACTTCTTCAACTCGTTGATAAAGATCTTCACACCCAACATTTTCAGTGCCATCGACAAGATCAAGTATATTGGATGGTGGTCCATGCGTCATAAGTATATCTGTTGTTTCTGGTATTCTTGACCATATTTCTTAAATCAAATTGTTAATAAATTATTATCATTATCATTACTATTTTATATATATTTATATTAATTATTGTGTTTACCTTTTAAAAATTCACCACGCTCACCATTAAATCCCCAATCATAAAACCATGGAGTCCATGGACTTCCATACACTTTATATCCAATTTCAGGAATTACATATGAACTTTCTTGTAAATAAACAAATCCATTACCTACTTTGCTTATTATGCCAATTGCTTTATCGTGATTATCTTTAACAGTATGGAATTCTGACCAATTTGTTTCATAAAATTCCTTATGCAATCTTTTATTAATAAGCAATTAATTAATAAGTTGGTTGGTTGGTTGGTTAGTGATTAGGAAAAAAATAATCTATTCTTATTATTATTGGAGAAATTGTTGCTTACATTAGATCATGATTACCAGCAATGACAATTTTATGTCTAATGATTTTCTTAATTAAGGTTAATATTTATTTGAAATTTTTCTATTTAGGAAAAAAAAGGATATTTACCTATGTGGAAGATCTTTCAACCAATTGACAGCTTGTTCTAGTTGATCCACAGTCCCTACTTTGGTCAAATCACCTGAATGAACTTTACACACACACGAATTAATGAGCCAATCGTAATTATCAGTATTATATATAACAATCATTATTATTATTAGAAAATAATATACACATACGTAAAACATCGCCTTCAGGTACTGTAAAATTCCTAGAGTTGACCATATTATGAGTATCACTAACACATACAAATCGTATCCAATCTGGTGCTGGTTTATCTGGGATTTCTGTTCTAGAATGGTATACATTGCTAACATTGTTAATATTTGATCTTGTTATAATTTTAGATCTAATCATATTTAAATAATGATAATAATGACAATAATAACAACAAAGGATGATATCATTATTATTATCGTTGTTTCTGCGCCATCACGCCAATTTAGACCGAGCCAACCATATTAATATGTCACATATAATAAATTCCTAATAATGGTCCTTGCCTTTTTTGGCTAGTATAAATTTACAAAGCGTAATGTATTGTTAATATTATTAATAGCAACATCTCTAATGATACGAATAAAATAGCGAATTTAATTTCTTATCAAAACAAAATAATCGTTATATTTTTTTGATATATTTATTTGATGTTTATTATTTAAATTATTAATATTAACATTTTATTTATTTTGAGTAACCGTTGATCATATTAATCAAGCTGGCTCGAGCTGGCTCACGAGCCAAGAAGCCCGAGTCAAGCTGGTTGTTTATAAGCTTGGCTTGACTCGAGCCATCATTATTTTTTCAAGCCAAGCTCAAGCAAAGGGTGAGCTTGGCTCGAGCTGGCTCATGCGGAGCTTTACTTTGTTCCTTGATTCTTTTTTTAGACCCAGCATTAATTTTTTCTGCTCTTTAAATAATTAAATCAAATAGTATCCATAGAAATTGTGTAAAAATTCACATAGGGCCCATAATTGTACCCCACAAATTAAAATTAAATAGTAATATGACCTCACTTACACTGCTAATTTTAACCCTTCTATCTCTCTGGCAGCTATCTTTAAAGGAATTGATATAGAATCTAACTGCCAGGTACCTTCATTTATGGAAATATTCAATTCTTCATACTCTTTGTTCTTTCTAATATAATAGCTAAGAAAAGATTTTAAGATTTTAAAAAGTCCTTTCTGAATCAACGAAAGATTTTTAAACTTACAAATGATTCTTAATTTCATCAAGGTTGTTTTTGGAAATTATAATTTCAAAATCATTAGCATGATAATTGGTATTAACTGTATTTTTCATTAATTCCCATTCTTCCATTGTAAATTGAGCTTTGTATCAAGAATGAGGGATATTATTGATGATGCAAGAGGATCGGTGAAATCAAGTTCATTGGACCAAAGTTTTTTATTATTGATTTGATTCCAATTTGAAATGGTTCAGATAAACTGTTTCTGGAGATTTCCTTCATCTTTTTAAAATGTAATCAGTAATTATTATATTCACGAGTATACAAACACATCTAAATAACTTAAATTATTAAAATAAAGAATAATTGAATAGAGATAATTTGCCCAAAACTAATTATAAATCATCTTATTGCTGGTAAAACCAGACATGCTTAATAAATATCTGCCTTTAATTTATTTCATTAGCTTTGATTATTTTTAAAAAGTCTGATTTTTGTACCTACATAAGTAATGAAATAACTAATAAAATATTAGATACTCTAGTTAATTATTATTCGAAATCAGATTTTGATTCTGTTGTGCGTGAAACTTAAACACACGAAACGATTCAAAAGATTTTAGATTTACAACTATAATATGTGGTGTCAGATTCCCCCCACCATATTATTACTATAGAAAATTTATCTATGGAAATTTCTGTACATTTGTGATATTAATATTAATATTAATATTTATTTGTATATTGTAAGAAATATCCTTTAATAATAATAATGCATGTAAAATTTTCCGGAAGAGTTATAAATAAGCACTAAAAAACGCACTTATTGTACCTGATACAAGGAGTCAGTGTGCTCGATGTAAGAAGGAAACGTACCGGTTCAAAGACCTCATCTAAAGATTGGTCAACCTTATTATTGTTATTATCAGTAGTTCAAAGAGGTAAATATATAAATATACAAATAATATGTTTCTGTTTTCTTTTTTGCATAATTACACGAAAATATAAAATGGATAGTAATAGATAAATGGACAGGATATTAATTTTACAAATTTCTGTTACACGGACCATTTATTTTTTTTTAAAAAATATATATATATCTTTAAAATAAATGTAAAGGAAAAAGAGCGCAAGATCTATCTATCTATATATATATACATATATGAAAAATAGGTATATATATAAGATAATTTTTATTTACTATTACATACAGGTGTTGGTCGTAGTTATTATGGTGGTGTTTGAACCGCTGGATCAATAACAACACCCGATGACTGCATCAATTGCTCATACGTATATAAATACGTATCATAATAATCATCATGGCTTGATTGTTGCTGATCATTGGTTTGATGATTATAGGTTGAGGTTGGTAAGACACAGCCCTCAGTGCTCCGATGATTACCTCCTACAAATTTTTTTAAGAAAATTACATATAAAAAATTTTTTTTTTAATAACAAAAAAATTAATTAATTTACATTACTTGCAGAATACAGAAATATGTACATATATTATTGTTATTATTTTTATTATATTACTAATACTTTTATCAATATTATCATAATGGATCAAGTTACCTTGTGATTGTCTAGGATAGACTTGCAAATCTTCAATGCCTGAACTCAAACTAATAAAGCCACCTTCACGCATAACACGACCATTAACCAAATCAACGTTGTCTTTACGAAAACATGACGTATCAGTAGTGTTTGTTTTTATTTTATTTTTATTATTACTACTACTATTATTACTAATGTTTTTGTCAATATTATCATAACGAATTAATATACCTTGTGGATTGACTTGTAAATCTTCATTGCCAGATTCAATAATATTCTTCACACCTTCAATTAGACCACGATGAGTATC